TGGCCAGCATCCGTGCAATAAAAGGTAGTGGTTAAACTGGATTTGAATTGGATCTGAACCTGATCTCCAATTTAGAGAGGTAACAACTATATACTGGCGAAGTTTCAGAAGCAATGAGCTCTGTACAACATTTAGTGTAACAACAAACTTCCACTATGCTTACTGGCTAACATCACTAATATATTACATTAAAAGAAAATCATTACCAAATTTGGTCGTGAGATTCAAAATAGTGTGACACGAAAATTATCGTTGCACTTCTGAGCATAACTTTTAAATTTAAAAAATCTATGAAAAGAAAATTTGAGACAAATTTTTTTTTTTAGATTAATAGACTCCCTTTTAAAGCTGAATTGAATGGTGACGGGATTTTTAAAATCCAATGTGTGGATCACATAATATTTCAAAAATTTTAACCTTTGAGTATAGATGATCCGCACTGTACATTTATAATTTAATTATGTAATTATTCTTATCTTTATATACATACTTATCTATTATATCTTATATAGCAAATGCTATAATTTAATGATGATGTAATGTTCCAAAATGATGATAATGGTGATAATTTAGTTGATGACCCTGATGATAGTGATGAATGTTTGGATATGTGTGAGGAAAATACTTCACATTTATACATAGAAAATTTCATTGACTTAAATCATGAATTATTAATAAATATGTTGATAGTAATTTAACTGATGAATTTGTTGAACATGGTATATTGATTTTGATATTGATCAAATATTAAATAGAGTAGAAAGTTAGATTATTTGATGGGCTAATTTTTTTTTTAACCTTTGCATTTTTATGGTTTTTTATAATAAATTTTTTGCTAACAATGTGTTTTATGCAAAGAATAAAAGAATATATCTATTATTTTGATCTGTATATAGGGGATTTGGGACAGCTTTGGGATTTGGGATTTGGAATATGGGATATATACTACTTTTGACAATGGGCTTTGGGACTTGGCCTTTTGAGCTTGGGCGGCAGTATAGGTCAATTGCATCAACAGTAATTCTTGTTCTTTCTTGTTTACACTTAAAAAAACAAAATTGTACTCATCATCTTCAAGATTAAATATCAGCATATAATAATTTAAATTGTAGTTCAAATTGAAAATTTTATCTTTTTGACAATTTTTTGAACTATATGATGAATATTTAACAAAGTTTTAGGTATAGCAACCTTTTTTTGCGGATGAAGCAAACACAATTTCAATTCGGTGGTCTTCTTTTTAGTCATTGGAGTTCCCATTTTAGAATCATCATATTTCTTGCCAATAGTACTAATATCTTTTGCATTATTAACATAGGTATCAAAATAAGGAGCAATGGCTAAATGGATATAGGAATGAATTGTATCATATGGATTTACAGCAAATGATCTAGATTCACTTGGAGCAGGACCAGGTAAACTTACAATTTGTACTTGAGTTTGAATTGGAATTATGGGATCCAAATTTGGAATACACATGTAAACTCGATAAGTCGGATTTGGCCTAACTCGGACAAAATTTTTCTCCCCTTTTTTTCAATATTTAAAAAAATTTGATAAGTCGGACGACATATATAAAGTCATGATAAGCTGTAAGTTGGACAACTTCTTTAACCAGATAGTAATAAATGACTCTCGATAAGTCGGACCACATGATTTTTTCAAATATTGAAATAATCCTTACTATTTTTAGTAAATACACAATTATATATTTTGTTAGAATTACGATTAATAATAATTTCATCATTTTTATCATCATTTATAATCTTGTTTTGTATCTGACAATGTTCATATTTTATTATCTTTTTTATATCATTAATCATGTTGCTAATTATTATCTCATTTGATTATTTAGAAAGAAGAAGAACATTCTCATTTGTATCATAAACAATACATTATATTTTTAACTCATAAATTATATCATAGGATATATCATTGATTATATCATTTATTCTCACTTGATAATTTTGAAAGAAGAAAAACGTACCATAAACAATACATTTATATTTTTATTTCATTATATCATAAGTTGTATCATTGACTACATCATTTTGATGATCCAGAAAGAATATTGTATTGCGAAACAGTATATTTTTTAATTATGTTCTGAAATATGTATAAAAAGATTGACTTTTCGACCTTCTGAATTTCTAATAAAAGATCAATATACAAATCAATAATAAACCTATTTTACACTTGTAAAATTTATAAAATTAAAAAATAAAACTATAATTATGGATATAGAAAAAACATCTAGTAAATTCGGAAGCAAAAAAGGAAGAAAATTAGTTACTCTTACCAATGTTCAAAAAAAAGAATTATGTGAATATAAAATCAACAATCCAACAAAAACATATGAAGAGATTGGCAAAAAATTTGGTATTGGTAAGTCAACTGTAGGAGATGTTCTTGGAGAAAAAGAGAAATGGCTTGCAATTACTGAAAGTTCAATTGATGCCAATAAAAAACGCAGTCGTGGAGGTGATTGGCCACAGTTAGAAGAAGCATTGGCAATTTGGGTGAATCTTGCCAATGAGGCTAACCATACAATAACTGGTGCAATCTTGAGTCAAAAGGCAACACAGTTTGCTCAAAGGCTAAATATTTCCGATTTTAAATCATCACAAGAAAGTATCAATTTCTTTTGAATGTAATGTGTAGTTATGTAGTTATAATAACTAGTTACTTAAATATCTATTATTTTTAAACAATAGGGATGGATTACGAATTTTAAAAGAAGGAATAATATTAAAGAATACTATAAATTAGGTGAGGCAGCTAGTGCACCAATTAATGAATTGCCTACATTCAGAAGTGAGTTACAATCTGTAATTTCACAGTATGATTTAGAAGATGTATACAATGC